TAGCCCAGTTGTATGACTTGTACGTGCTTGTTTTGGAGACCATCAAGGAGTGGAAGGACTATCTCTGGACGGAAGTGCCGCAGCATATCGAAGACATGAGGTCTCAGGTGAGCACATCGAACATGGACAGTCTTCGCACTAGCGATGCTTTTCAGATTGAAGTATTCAGCAACCGTTGCAAGAAGATGCCGAAACAGCTGCGAGAGTGGCCGGCGTACCATGAGCTGAAGAAGGAGATCGAGGACTTCTCGGAGGCTCTGCCGCTGTTGGTCGAGCTGGCCAAACCGTCTATTATGCCGAGGCATTGGCAGCAAGTACAGGAGCTCACTGGCAAGGAGCTGCCGGTGAGAGATAAGCGTTGTGTATTCTAACGAGTCTGTGTTATCATCGATTGCTCAGGTCGATTCTGAGATGTTCATGTTGCAAAGCTTGATCGACGCCAATCTGCAGGAGCACATCGATGAGGTTACGGACATCTGTGACTCAGCAGACAAGCAACTGATCATCGAGAAGCGTCTAGCGGACATCACTAAGCAATGGAGTGAAGAGGCGTTCCTGTTTGGCTCGTGGAAGTCTCGGGATTACGACTGTGTCCTGTCCGGTGGACGAGTAGCCGAGATCCAGGAGATGCTGGAGGAAGCCCTGATGCAGCTGAATACTATGAACGCTATGCGCCACTCTCTGCCGTTCAAGGAGCCTCTTCAGAATATGATCACAAGCTTGAGTGAGGCCGGCGACATTATAGAGCGGTGGGTGAAGGTGCAGATGCTGTGGACTAGTCTGGAGTCGGTCTTCACTGGTGGTGATATCGCCAAGCAAATGCCGATGGAAGCGAAGAAGTTCAATCAGATCGATAAGGACTGGATCAAGATCATGTCTAAGTCGGCTGAGACACGCTTGGTCGTGCCATGCTGTCAGAATGACCTCCTCAAGCAGCTGCTACCAGTGTTGGGCCAAGGCTTGGAGAGCTGCCAGAAGAGTCTAGAGAGCTACCTCGAAGGCAAACGGAACAAATTCCCCAGATTCTACTTCGTGTCCGACCCGGTGTTGTTGAAGATTCTCTCGCAAGGATCGGAGCCGGAGAGCATTCAGGATGACTTCGAGAAGCTCTTTGATGCCATCTCTCGGGTACAATTTGACAAGATTGACCGGAAGAAGATCACCAAGATAAAGGCCATTGTGGGGACAGCCGAGGAGTTGGTGGACCTGAGCACGCCGGTGAATGCTGTGGGGAACATCGAGGACTGGCTGCTGGCCCTGGAGGCTGAGATGCAGAAGTCGATCAGGCGAGAGTGCCGAAACTGTTCCCATGACACTGGTGTTGTTATGAACGGCATGTCTCTCAAGGAGTTTGCCGATCGGTACATTGGGCAGGTGTCCCTGTTGGGCATCCAAATTGTCTGGACGGTCGACTTCCAGGAGGCCCTGATGAAAGCGACGAGGGAAAAGGACCGGCAGATCTTGCCAGCTACCAACAAGAAGTTCCAACAGATGCTCGCGGATCTAGTATCGTATTGTCTCTCTGACTTGGGCTCGAAAATGAACCGCACGAAGTACGAGACTTTGGTCACGATCCACGTGCATCAAAGAGACCTGTTCCAGGAGGTCATGAAGAAGACAAGGGAACATAAGGTGAAGGATGAGAATGACTTCGAGTGGATGAAACAGACCCGATTCTATTGGAGGACCGAGACGGACCACGCCATTGTGTCCATAGCGGACTGCGATTTCACCTACTCCTACGAGTATCTTGGGGTGAAGGAACGTCTGGTCATCACTCCTCTAACG